ACGTGTGGTGTCAGTTCTCGGTGGAGAGAGCGGGTCCCGCACAGGCCGCCTCACTCCCTCTTTCGTTTGTCAGAAACTCACCCTGAGCACCTAGTCTTCTCCCGTCACAGCGCGGGAGCTCCAGGGAGCAAAGCAAAGCACGCCTCCCCTGCCCTCCGTGTGCACCGGGCAGGCGGCAGAAATGTAAATAAGCCGTTTCAATAAATCATTGTAAGTGCCATTGCGGCTACGAGAAAGAGCGGTGCTTGAGGGCCAGGGTAGCGGCTCGAATGTGACATTGTCACCGAGGTGACCATTTCCTTTCCCTCTCTGGGTCACCGGCCGATCCGTGGTCATGCAGGCGCAGCTGAGCGATGCGCCAGACGCAAACCAAGAGGGCGTTGGGATTCCTAGTTTTGTGTCGTGCAAACCACCTGCCAGTCTGTCTGTCTCCTGGCTCTCTATCCTCAGAGTGCGTGCAGGAGCTCCCGCACCGCCTTGCCTCTGTGTCTTGGGAGGGAGATTAGAGGCAGAAGCACTCCTTCCTTTCTCCCTTCCTTCCGAACGTGGATCTGGCTCTGTCGTTCCTCACTCGGGGCCTCCTCCGTCTCCGGGCTGCATTTCACGAGGGAAATGGCCAGCGGGGCTCTGTCTGCTGGCCCCAGTGCGCCCTTCCGCCCGCATCTCCACCCCCGCCCCCATCTCCGGCATCAGCACCTGGAGCTTCGGCATCCCTCCGCCCCTCCTCCGCGGGGTCCAGCTCCCCGAGGGCTAAGTTCGGTCGCTGCTCGGAGACGGATTTCAGCTGTCGCCCCTCCATCAGCTGTCACGGGCATTTGCCCAAACAGCCCCAAGCTCTGCATCCCGCTTGTATTCTTAGCGTCCTGTCGTCCATGCTGATGGAGCTGATGTCCCGCCAGGCGCTGCAACGTCCTTGAGGGTCAGACTGTTCCCTCTAATGAAATCACGGAGCCGGGCCCATGCTTAGCGTCCCTATGTGTTTTAAGTTAATTTGCTTAATTCCCAACTATTTTCTCCAAACCGTTGTGATTATGCCTGTATTTTTATAAAACAAATACTGGCCAATCCCCCCCCGCCCCCCCGAAGAGAATATTCTGAAAACGTATAGGTCAATCTAATGGTATGAAATGGGTGATGTTGTCCCTGCAACAGGGAAGGTCGCGTGTTAGAGACTGTTACTGATGGCCGGCGTGTGTCTCCTTCCCTGGAGAGAGAATAAAAATTTTACTCTCTCTAAAAAAAAAAAAAAGAAGGAAGGAAGGAAGGAATTGATCTGTGAGTAAAAGAATAGCTTACCAAAAAAATCACTTCTTCCCCTTAGGCACTATGATGATTAATTTTGCGAGTCGGCCACAGGGGGCCCAGGTCGTTGGTCAAACATTGTTCCGGGCGTGTCTGGGAGGGGTTTCTGGGTGAGATTCACGTTGGAACCAGTAGACTGAGTTGAGTGGATGGCCCTTGGTCGAGTGGGTGAGCCTCACCCAATCAGTTGAAGATCTGAACAGAATAAAATGGCGCCCTGGCTGGTGTGGCTCCGTGGACTGAGCGCCGGCCTGTGAACCAAAGGGTCTCTGGTTTGATTCCCAGTCAGGGCACATGCCTGGGTGGCAGGCCAGGTCCCCAGTAGGGGGCGCGTGAGAGGCAACCACACATGGATGTTTCTCTCTCTCTCTTTCTCCCTTCCCCTCTCTCTAAAAATAAAATAAACAAATAGATATTAAAAGAGTAAATGGCGGAGTAAAGGGGAGCCCCTGCCTGTCCGCTCCGAGCTGGGGTGTCAGTTTTTTCTGCCTTCAAACTGCAAGGGCAGCGCCAGCTCTCCTCGGGTCTCGAGTCTGCTGCCTGGAACGCACAGCCCGGACTCCCCGGGCCTCCAGCTCTCTGACGTCAGGCTGCCAGCCCCCAATCCCCGTGAGCCAGCTCCGGAGAAGACGGACCCTTTTCCATCCCAGTGGTTCCGTGTGCCTGGAGAACGCTGACCGCCGCTCCCAGCCACCGTGGCCTTCACCTTTATAAGTCGCAGATCCCGCCACGTGTGGGGCTTCCTTGCCGTGGAACTCACTGGGGTAACGTTAACCCTCAAGGAACACGGAAAGGGCACGGGTGAAAACGGCACGGAGAACCTGCTCCCGTGTTGTGAATGTCACCTGATGTCTAATGTGAAACTGAACCTTCCGCCGAAGGCCCCGGGTTCAGTCCCAGCTACGCGGGTCAGGGGAGCCTCTGCAGGCCACGATAGATACGTGACTTAAGGCTGGAGCAGGAGGACAGACAAAAAACCCCCCAAAAAACAAAAAACAAAAAAACAAATTTTCCCAGCATTCCAGAAGTCAATGGCTAAAGGCAGCCATGTGGCACAGAGTGAACACTTGCTACTAAGTATCCAGAGTTGCTTTGCTCTGTTACTCCGTGGAGTGGTCCCCCCCACCACCCCGCGCCTGCCTGCAGCCCCGTCGCTTCCGTGAGCCTTTCTGCCGGTGACTGGGCAGGGCCTGGCGAGCACAGACACCCTGGACAGAAATCGTTGCCCGCAGCGGTCGGGGGAAACACTCAGTGTACTAACAGGGTTATTTATTGACCTCAGGGTTAATCCATAGCATTCCACTGGCCGTTTGCTGAGATGTTTAGAGGAAGCTACAAACATGTAGACTTGACAGGTTACAACTGCTGCGGGTTCCGATTTCTTGAGTTTCCCCTCCCCCCGCTCCCGTGGTGATGGGAGTGGGGGGGTGCTGGTTGTGGGGAGGCAGTTCTGGGTGCCCAGCCTTGGGGAGCAGGGGGGTAAGAGCGGGAAGAAGACTGCAGACCAATCAGAGCCTCCTCGAACTAAGAAGAGAAGGAACAGCTTGAAGCTACTTCAAAACCCAGTTTCAAATGGCGGTGTTCTGGGTCCACGTGAGGCCGTGTTTTAGTGCCTCGTGCACGGGTGACCTGTGATGCATGCTGGGAGCGTGGCTGCAGAAAAGTTGCTCTGAAGAACCCCACCCACCGAAGAAGGAGGGTGCACTTCTAAATCACCTACCTGCCACTTTCTTTTCTTTTTTTAAAAGATTTTATTTATTTATTTTAGAGAGGGGAAGGGAGGGAGAAAGAAACATCAGTGTGTGGTTATCTCTTGAGCGCCCCCTACTGGGGACCCAGCTCGAAACCCAGGCACATGCCCTGACTGGGAATCGAACCAGCGACCCTTTGGTTTGCAGGCCAGTGCTCAGTCCACTGAGCCACACCAGCCAGGGCCACCTGCGACATTCTAAGCAAACCAAATTCATGGTCTTTCAGAAGCTGCTTTTCAAGCATTGGACTGTGTTTACCTGTTTTTCCTCTTACCTCCTAAGACGAATCATCAGTTACAAGTAGTTTTCACCTGTAAACCAACTGCCTGTGTGTGCTTAGGTATCCGTCTATCATGGATTTATGACATACATACATACATACACACATATGCACATGATGTATGATATATGCACACGGATGGGCACTGTCAGTACTTGACATATGATTACCATTGTAATTGCTCCGAATTTGCTGTTTCGGCGCAAGTTCAAAACTGGCCTCTTACTCACTCTTGCACGTGATTTTTTTGTGAATGTAAAAAAAAACAGGAAGGTTCCTCAAACCCCTCCCAGCTTCTCAGGCTCTCACGGTCCCTCAGCGGAGAGCGTGCGCGCGCGCGCACACTCACGCGCGCGCGCGCACACACACGAACGTGAGTTCAAGCCTGCTGCGCCCATGCCCTTTGAAGCAGCTCCAAGCCTGGGTTCCGAGCGCCCGGGGCCCTGGTGGAGGAAAGCCGCGTGGGGAAACCTCCTCTGTGGGCTCATCCAGCCGCCAGGGTTGGTCGGAGCTGGGATTTGACGGCCCTCTGCGTGCGCGCTCTCAGGAGCGCGCGTCCCTGTGTGGTCCTGGAGCAAACCCGTGGTTGTGACTGATTGATCCCTGGAGCGCCCAGGGGTGGCGATCGGGGAACCCAGGCCGTGGTCTCTGGACCACTGGCCGCTTGCGGTGGAGGTTGGGTCCAGGAATCAGCCGGTTTGGGCCGGGGGCAAAAGCCCTGGCGGCTCCGGTCCTCGCCGGTCCCTTGCCGCCCGGCGGGAGCCGAGGAAGCAGATAGGCTCTGACCCAGAGAAACAAAGGCACGAGTGTCGGGGGCGGCTGGGGCGGGGGACCGGACGGACCTGGAGCCTGGGAAGCCAGGTGCACCGCCAAGGGTGGCGCGCCGGCCGGCGTGGGAGCTGTCCAGCAAGGTGTGGGTGTGGTGGAGCTGCCGCAGCCGCAGATTCCGGTGCAAAGTCGGGTGCAACCATGGAGACGCGACATGCGCCCCCTAGTAACCCGGAACAAACGGCGTATTTATAAGCTGCCATCCCCGCGGCCGCCCGCTCCCCCCCTGGCTTCGCCACACTGGCCTCGGAGGAGAACAGCGCGCTGGCTCCCCCTGCCTCCCCCGCCCCTTTGGTGCGGTCCAAGTCACCCCCGGGCCTGAGGGGGCGACTCCAGCGCGGAAATTACGGCGGTGCCTGTTTGTAAAACCCAGTGGGTGTGCGCCAGGCGCACCGGCCCCACGAGGACTCGGGGAGGGGGCGTCTGCCTCAGCGCCGATGTTTGCCCGGGGACTCCCAGCTCGCCCCAAACAACTGGAGCGCCCTTAACCTCTCTGCCCCGAGCCTTTCTGGTCCAGCCCAGTCCAGGCAGAGCACCCTCGTGTACGCGCGCGCGCACGCGCACACACACACATGCCCCTTCCGCCCGCCCCTGGCTTCGCCACCACCACGCCCGGGCCCCCCGCCCTCAGGGACAAGTGCGGGGACCGCTGATCCCCGCGCTGCCTGCCGGAGGAGCCCCTGAGCCGCTGCGCCGCCCCGTGTCCTCAGTGCGCCCCGCGCGCGCGTCGCGCAGCAGTCTCGGGCTAAGCACTGACTGCGAGCCAGCAGGACGCGGGCACGCAGGCTGTGGGAGCCGGTCCCACGGCCAGTCCTCCTCCCCGGCTCCCGCTTTTGTTTGAAGCAGCTGGAAGCCCACACCCTCCTCTCCTGTCCGGCTTTTATTTTTCTTTCTCGGCTGCCGCCCCAAAGAGTTGATTGCTATTGTGATCCGCCTAGGAGAGGAGAGAGCAGGGCGCGCGCAGGTGGGCGAGCCGGACCGCGGGAAGAATTTTCTGCTCAAAAGCCAACTCCACCCAGTCGCCACTGCTGGCGTGGCCCCTGCTTGGATCCCTGCCGAGACAATGGATTAAGTTACTCTTCCCTGGGCCAGGAGTCGCGTTCATACTTGGGGCAGCATGAAGGAAAAGGCAATGATTAAGACCGCCAAGATGCAGGGGAACGTGATGGTGAGTGCGCGCTGCCAGGCGCCGGGCCAGGAGGACCGGGTGGGGAGCGATGCATGGACCTGGGAGGGGGGTGGGGGGCGTCCTGTCCTCGCGAGTCCTGCTCCTTCCGTAGTGACCATCCGAGACTCCCGTGCTGCCAGCGGGAGCGCCTCCCCCCACTTCCCACCCGAACCCCCCTGGTGGCAGCTGCGGGGTACAGAGAGGATCAGGCGTTCATTTGCAGATCGCAACTTTGTGGCTTCCGAGTTCCTTTGCTTTGGGCATGTGGCTGGCGTCTGGGACAGGGGAGGGGTGTGGAGGTGAGGCAGGGGCTCTGTCTGAGTTCCCAGTGGGTGCCCCCTGGGCTGTGCTGGGGCAGACTGGGAGAGGGGAGATCACCCGGCCAGGGAAGGGCCACTGCCACCCCCGCCTGATGCCCACGGGGCCTCCAGCTTGAGCCCCCAGAGCCAAGACCTGTTGGGGTTGGCTGAGCTTTGGGTCCCTTCCCGGCACGCCAGTCCTCTACTGCCAGCTTGGCCACCCACCTCCCCCCGGGGACCGGGGCCCTGGGTTTCAGAAAGGTGACCCCCTCTCCCACCGAGGGTGACTGAGCCAGTGAGCTTAGTAATCATGGCACATGGTCCCCCGAGGATTCCTGTGCACCCAGGGGTGTCTCAGCGTGGGTCACTTTGCTAACTCAGCACCGCTCCTCTGCAGTGAGCCCGTCCTTCCCTCGCCCGTGCCCGGGCCCACCGAGGTGCGCCTGTGCTCCAGTCCCCGCGTGGGCCAGGCAGGGCGGCTGGGGTCTTGGCGCCTCCTGGAGAGGACATGGAGGTTGCCATCTTGTTCTGGGGAAATTAGCGTGTGCCGGTGTCTGGGCGATGTTTGAACCCCTCCGGGGTGGCTGTAGGACAATTGGGAGGGGGGCCCCTATGTTTTAAATTGTTCGAGGGTACTTTTTTTTTTATAAGGGAGGGTCCACCACATGTCAATGCCCCATTACTTTTTTCTGAAGGGCCAAGGTCTGGAGCTGTTGGAGATCACCCAGCCAGTAATCCATTCTGAGGTCTCAGAGCTTTAAACAAACAGAGGCAAGCAGGGAAACATTGATTCGAATTGACCACATTCTCAGCGTGCTTAATCACGCCCACAGCCAGACACCTGTTGCCGGGGGAGGAGGGGGCGCCCTGCGTTCAGAACTTGACGTACCGCGGCGTGCGGCAGGCACCGCTCCTTTGCTACAGCCTTGGGAGTGTCTGTAATCAGGGGTGATTCTGCAGGGCACCCCCCCATGACACGCCCCCCCTCCCATTTAAGACCCTGCACCAGCCTGTGGGCTCTCTGGCTGGCTGCTGACTTAATAGCTTGTTTGTGTGAACCCATCTGCTCCCCCTGGCCCCCTCCCTACTTGGCCGTCATTTCTTGTATAAACTGGGCAGGAATCTGGAGTGACGTTTTCCCAATTAAATCCCCGCTGACACCCATCAAGCTTCTTTTGTACGGTGCTTTGCCGTGTGCTGAGAAAACCTGCCCATTTAGGACGGAGGCACAAGAAGGGGTTCGCATCCATGATAAAGATGACAAGAAGAAGAAGAAAACAGGATTGACTCATTCCTTAAATCTTGTGCCGTAGAGGTGTGTCTGCTCACAGCCCAGAAGGCACGTCATGACATAGCACATTTCGTCATCAGCAGCTTTTAAGGGGCCCGCCCCGCCCCCCCTCTATCTGGGCTTGGGCTTCAGAAAATAAACAACAGGAAGGCGCATGCCATTAGCGCCCATGCTCTGAATGAGGACGCTCCACGTGGTGCCCTCCGTAGGTGCTTCTCCAGGCTGACTGTTAATAGGCTTAATGACTTAATGAGAGCGAGAGGAATGCAGCCTACAGGAGTTCCACGGCAACCAGCTGTATTTGTAGGAGCACCCCTGGCCTGGGAGGAAAAGGAGACGGAGGCTTCGCTTTGAAGTGTTCTGGCAGTTCTTAAATTGGTCATTATCGCCCCGCGGTCTGGTCCGTGCCTTTGTCTGAGATTTCGCGCTCGGGCGAAATCCACGCAGCGTTCCTGAAGGGATCCTTCCGCGCCGACGTCCTCACTCCGGGGGCTTTGCCATCTCCGGTTCTTCGTCCGTCATTCGGGGAGCCTTGCTAACCACCGCCTGGCTCGCTGGGATCAGCCGGCTGGCTCTGTCTCCGCTCTCCCCCACTTGCTTGCAAGTCGGGTGCCGCTGTGCATCCGAGATGAGGCCGGGTCGCTGACGCCCGCCCGTCGCTGGTCGCTGGTCGCTGGCAGGGGGCGGCTGCACATCCGTCCGCCAGGGAAGGCGGCAGCGAGCCCCACGCCGGCCACGCGGACACTGCAGCGCGGCGGCTCCCCGCACAGGGCCGGAGCACGTGGCGCTGTGGGGACTCTCGTTGGCGGCTTGATATTTGAAAGAGTCACACTTAGCACTGCCCAGATGGGCACATCGGGTGCCGCCCATGCGTGTCAGCGTTTTGTAATCCAGGCTCTTCTCACTTACGGTCACACGGTGCGGCCACCCCGGGTGGGCGTGCGGTGGGGTGTCGCCGAGGGCCCTGCGGCGAGCGGCCTGAGCCGCCCTTGCCGGTGCACAGCGCTGCCTGGACGAGGAATCCTTATTCCGAAACCTGGGAAAGGTGTGACTCCCCGCTCGCCGCATCGGGCGTGCGTCTCTGACGGCGGTCAGAGGGCGGAGAGCAGGCCAGATAGTTGCTGTCTTGCCGGGTCCCCTTTTGGGCCAAAGAAGGGAATGACGTGAGCGGGGGAGGGGGCTCAGCTTGCAAGTTGCACTTTACTTCCTGAGAAAAGTCTGCTTCATAACCTTTGCTTCTGGCATTGTGAGAAGCCCCCACGCAGGCAGCCCCGCCTGCTGCGGTTTAGCACCTCGAGGAAGACAAGATTTTTCTCCCTCTCACCACAAAGCTGATTCACAAACAACTGCATTTTCATGCAAACTTTAAAACTGTGTGTGGGGGGGGGCAGGGCCCTGCAGTTCATGTCCTCGGTCACTATCAGCCCGACTTGTACTTACCCAAATGTACATGGAATCGGCTGTGCTGGAGAGGGGTGTGGCCTCGCGCACGCAGTAGGTTCTAGGGTCCGTGGAAAACCGAGTTGTCCCCGTGAACCCCCCACTCTGCCTGTGCAAGGGAGCTCTTCCCACCCTCTGCGTTGCTTCGTGGAGACGAAGTAAAGGCTAGTGAAACAACGCCGGTCTCGGGGATGGCCCTGTGCCCGTGGGACGGACCCCCTCTCCTTGGTGGGCACGTGAGTGCGGCGACAGAGTCATCTCGGAGGAGATGGGGAAGCTGGACGTGGAGGATGAGCTGTCACCGACCACGGGGACGTCGGAGGGTCTCGTGGCTGGTTGGCCTGGGGTTTCAGTGAAAGTTGTCGTCTGGGAATCCCCTGTGCAGGCAGAGCAGAGGTGGTTTGGTTTGGTTTTGTTTCGTTAATGGCCCTGGGGGCTGATTGGAGGTCTTTGATCACTGATTGGACGTATCTGTGAGACTATGAGCCAAGGGTCTTTCGGATCTGGCCCCCCACCCCCCCGGCCCCGCCCCGTGTGGGGTGAAGCCGAGAAACATACCTCAGTTGCCTCATCCTGGTTGGCACCTGGACACACAAAAGCCAAGGTGTCGGTGCTACACGGGCCTTTGGGGGGAATTTACCTTCTTGCACCGGGTTCCAAAAGTCACTTCCCAGGTCACAGCCTGTTCAGAGGTGTCCCCGTGCGCCCCGTTTCAGGGGTGTCTCTGCCGCAAGCTCCCACCTCCTTGCGGTTCAGCGTCACGGAACCGGCAGCCCCGCACCTGGCCTCTTCTGTACACGGGAGCCTGCGTGGGGCTCGCGCACCCCTCTTACGGGGTTCGCAGGGTGGGAGGCGCTTTGAATGAACTGCCAGTAAAATATAAAGAAAATTGCTTAAGCTTCTGGGAAGAAGTTCCCACAGCTAGCATGCTTTCCGAGCTGGAATGTTTTCGGGTGCACAGGGCTGTTTCCCAGAGTCCCCCGTGGGTCCTGACTTGTGGACCACGGGGTCTTCCTGTTGGGGCGCAGACACACTCAGGGGGGGCTCCGGTTGCCGGGGCTCCGTGGGCTGGAGCGCCGTCCTGCGACCGAAGGATTGGGGGTTCAATCCTCAGGTGGGTGTGTGGGATCCGTGTACAGGAGGCAACCGATCGATGTCTCTCTCTCTCCCTCTCTCTCTCTCAAAAGCAAGAAAAAGAATATCCTTGGATAAGGAGAAAGAAAACCCCCAAACACTAAGCTGGCCTTTCCTGTCTGGCCATCTCTCCCTTGTCTGTGACCTGTCCCGGCCGCTGAGGACCTTGCCCCGGACCTGTTCCTCACGTGGACCGTGAACTCTCTGCGTCGGGGCCAAGAGGTGCGGGGCGTGCGGAAGCACGGGCACCTCTCCTTCCCTCCCGGCAGGGGCTGGCTGTGTTCCGGAGCACGCCAGTGGGGGCGTCACATGCACCGGCCGGTGGCCCTGTCTCTGCATGTGCTGTGCTCCTGTGAGAAAGGCCCGTGAGTTCAGTCACATGGTTCTCTTTTATTTTAAGCGCCCCTTCCAGTTCGGATGGGTCGGGTACCACGAGAGACAGTTCTGCACGTGGGTGTTTCCCACTGAGGCTGCAACGACATCGGAGCTGGCGCTCACCCCTGGCACGCTGGGTGGTTTGTAGTGTTTCTCGGCCCCACCGAGCAGTTCTCTGACGCCGGCCGGGTGCCCCGTGGTTCAGCCCGGTTCCCCCACCGTCTGCCTGGAGGTCCCGTCGCATCCCACAGCTCAAGGGCTCGGTCCCACCAAGCTGCCCCCGCTTCAGACGCCGGTCCCCAGCCAAGGTGCCCTGTGCTTCCGAAAGCCCGGCTGGAGCCGCAGGCCAGCACGGCCCACCCTCGGGCTGGGTTATTTTTGCTAGAGAGCTTCACAGAGCTCAGGAAGCTACGCCCTGTGTCACTGGCTTATTGCAAAGGATATTAAAGGATGTGAACAAG